AGTAATATGTATTATAGTAATATATATAAAGTATATATATTAGTTGGTAATCTCGAAAAATCTTGGAATTCAGATAGAAAATGTTCTTATATTTTCTACGTTTTAGCAACGTATCGGCTGTTTCGGCGCAGTGATTGCATTAGATTCGTAGTTACGAAACAGAAGCATCGGAAGAATCGCTATGCAAAATCAAAATCCATGTTTTGACACAAGTGAATGTTAATTACTTGCCAGAAATTATGCTAATTTTTAAGTGCTTCACCTCTTCACCGAGGATATATATAGGATGTATATATATATATATATACACATGTATTTTCTCATAGATATGGCACCACATTATTGACAAAATGGCACGATTAACGGTAATTTTACGAAAGCTTACTCATCAATGAGTAATTGTTGCGTCTGATGGCCGAATCCGATGGCCACGCGGTGTGCAAGTTACGCCGGGAATATCGGGAGCGGGCGTCACGCGTAATTACTGTTAATTGCCAGTGAAGGAGAAGGGGGAGGGGAGGGAGAGTGGGAGGCGATCGTTAACCCAAAACTCAGTAATTTCGATTTCGCCGTAGTATGTACAACCACTGACTGCGTTAATGATCATAACCGCCGGAGGACTAACGAGAATTGTTTTCTATTTGCAGACGGTGCAGCATGGATTTCCAAACAAGCCGACAGCCCTCGCGTGGGACCCGAGTTTACGATTGATGATCATTGGTGCGGCATCCGGCGCCATCAAAGTGTATCCTTTTCATCTTCGACCAGCTCATCGTTTCATCCTCCTTTCTCTTTTATCCTCTTTGAAATATATACGTATTTGTAATCCGGATAAATTGTTGTAGAACCTTCGAGAGAGAGGAGCTGCTGGTTTAGAGGGAAGTTAACTCATTATGATTTCACCGATTTCAACAGAGCTGTTCCTGCAATCACTTCCCTTGACTTTTACGGCTCTACGGCTTTCAGTCAATTCAATTTCTGTTTGTCACGGACGATCCTTATGTTTCCAGCATTTTTTTTTTTTAC